TCGCCAAGCCGGGCCGCGCCCTTTTCGGTTCTCAGCCGGACCGCGCCGATCATTGGCTTCGCAGGGAACATCGATTACTGTCGTTGTCAGTGCCTGCCTCCACTGATCGACAGGTTAGGTGAAAGCCCCAGTGGCTCCCCTGCCCCCCTTGCCCCCCTCCACTGAGCGATCATTGCAGTTGCACCCGATTGTGCCGACAAACCACAACTTGGCCAAGTTCGGGCGACTCCAATGAACCAAACACCCCAATGCAGCGGCAATGCAACCCTCACGGCAGACCAGACCCCGACTCGAACCCGGCTTCCAGCTTGCTGGACCCCGATTGGTACCCTGCAATCAATCGGATCTGCGAACCACATCCCACAAAGCTAGCGCTAGCACGCAACATCAGCCTGCTAGTATTTGTTCCGACCGCCCATCAATTTCCTTGTGCGACGAAATGGCGGAGATGCCTCGCTGCCGTCCGTGATGGCACGGTGGTCTAATCCAAGAAGAGAAGGGGTTCAGGGAAGTCGACGAAGAACTTGTGTCTCATACGCAGGCCATGGCCCACTGGGCTGGCATGGGATGTTCATTGCAGGAATTTTGATTCGTCACAGCAGGAAGCTGAGTCGGAGAAGCTGCATCATGCCGTCTTGACCCAGGCCACGTTAACTAGCGTGTGCCAGGTCGCGACCTGCTTGGGGCTGCATGCACGTTGATTATGAGGTCGTTGCACATGCGTGGTGTTGCCTTTTCTCTCCCATTCGTCTCTCCGACCTCTGCAGTGCGCCGTTGTTGTCGTTGTTGAGAGGAACCCAGTTTCACTTCCCGTTGTCTTTCCGCGATCCTTTCCACGATTGCCAACAATGGCCTCTACACAATACGGAGAGAAGGCCAATGGCGCCGAAAAATCAAGCAGCATCAGCCATGCGAGCTCGACCACCCCTATCGACATTGGTGAGAGGCTGGCCGGCAAGGCGAAGCCGAAACCCAATCCTCTGAAGCTGAAGCCCACGAAGGCCGACAAGAAGGGCGTTGCCAACGCCTTCGAAAGACACAGCCAAGTCCTCCAGGCACGGGTCAAGCCATTGCCTACCCAGGCGGGCGCCGGCACATTCTACGAGACCCCAAGATGGGGGAAGCTCCGGGACGACCTTAAGGCGTTGCGGGTTGCGGGTATGGCATTTGGAAACCCCAGTTGCAGGGCTTGTGGATGCTGATAATCTCCCAGATCTCAAGACCTTGAAGAACATGGTCGTCGCCAAGGTGAAGGGTGAGAAGTTGACGGACGACAAGACCATGATCATGGAGCGTGTCATCCAGATGGTCGCAAATCTGCCCAGCAACTCGAAGCTGCGGACAGAACTGACCAACACCTTCCTGGGCGAACTTTGGTACTCGCTGGAGCACCCGCCATCGCTGTACCTGGGTGACAAGTACAAGTATCGCCAGGCTGATGGGTCGTACAATGTAGGTTGCCTGTCATGATCAGGCAAAGGTGACCAAGGCTGACGATGTGCAGAACATTATGTTCCCGCAACTAGGCGCGGCTGGGACTGCATATGCCCGGTCTGTTAACGCCAACGTCTTGCGACAGGGCGCCCTTCCCGACCCCAACCTTGTTTACGACTCTGTCATGAAGCGTAGCGAGTACAAGAAGCACCCGAACAATGTGTCTAGCGTCCTCTGGTACTGGGCCAGCATCATCATTCACGGTCAGTTGCAGTACTTTGAAATCCTCGGCGGTGGGTTCTAACACGCTGCGTAGATCTGTTCTGGACGGACCACCGGGATATGAACAAGTCAAAGACTTCTTCATACCTCGATCTGTCGCCGCTGTACGGCAGCAATCAGGAGATGCAAGACAGCATCCGGACGTTCAAGGACGGAAAATTGAAGGCCGACTCCTTTGCCGACAAGCGGCTGCTGGGCATGCCACCCGGAGTTGGCGTGCTTCTGATCATGTTCAACCGCGTCCACAACTACACCTGCGACAACCTCATCGCCATCAACGAGGACGGCAAGTTCACACCGCCATCGCCTAAACTAGAGGGCGAGAAGGCCGTGGCTGCCTGGAAGAAATACGACAACGACCTCTTCCAGACAGCGCGCCTAATTACCTCAGGCTTGTACATCAACATTACCCTCCTGGATTACGTGCGCAACATCGTCAATGTGAGTCTCCCTGAGGATAGGGCCACGGGGATGTACTAACAACCGCAGCTCAACCGCGTCGACACCACCTGGACACTCGACCCCCGGCAAGACACTGGCATCGACGCGGGGACGGCTGAGGGTGCTGAGCGTGGAACGGGCAACGTTGTGTCGGCCGAATTCAACCTTTGCTACCGGTGGCACAGTTGCATTTCTGAGAAGGATGACAAGTGGATCGAGGAATTCTACTACGATCTGTTTGGAAAGCCGGGCGACCAAGTGTCTGTCCAGGACCTGATCATGGGTTTTGGCAAGTTTGAGGCCAGGATTCCCGCCGACCCCGCCGAGCGATCGTTCAACAACTTCAAGAGGGGTCCGAACGGGAAGTTCAGCGACGATGACCTAGTCGAGTGCATCACTTCTTCCGTCGAGGACGTTGCTGGGTCTTTCGGCGCGCGGAATGTGCCCACGTCGATGCGCGCCATCGAGATCCTAGGAATCATCCAAGGCCGCAAGTGGAACGTCGCTGGTCTTAACGAGTTCAGGAAACACTTCGGCCTCAAGCCGTACGAGTCGTTCGAGGACATCAACTCGGACCCTGGCGTTTCGGATGCACTCCGCCGTCTGTACGACCACCCGGATTTCGTCGAGCTGTACCCTGGCTTGGTTGCCGAGGAGCACAAGGCGCCGATGGTGCCCGGCGTGGGGATTGCCCCGACGTACACCATCTCGCGCGTGGTTCTCTCCGATGCCGTCTGCCTCGTTCGCGGTGACCGCCATTACACTGTTGACTACAGCTCCCGTAACCTGACCAACTGGGGTTACCAAGACGCGCAGTACGACCTGAACATCAACCACGGCTGCGTCTTCTACAAGCTGTTCATCCGGGCGTTCCCGCATCACTTCAAGCACAACTCGGTCTACGCGCATTACCCCATGGTGGTGCCGTCGGAGAACGAGAAGATCCTGAAGGACCTCAAGCGTGATCATCTCTTCGACTTCACGCGGCCCACTCGTATCTCCCGCGAGACCGAGTGCGGTTCGTTTGAGGGCGCCCAGCGGGTGTTTGCTAACCCTGAAAAGTACAAGTCGTCATGGCACGCCAACCTCAATGCCCTCGCCCCCAACGGAAAGACTAGGGTTTCCGCCGACTCGACTCACCAGGACCGCCACCGTCATGAAGTCAACCAGCCGCTGGCTACAGCTGATCTTGTGGCCCAGGTCAAGTCATTTTACCGCATCGCGACGGAGCAGCTGCTTGGACATGAGAGCTACCACCTTGGGGGCCACAAAATGGTTGATATCGTGCGCGATGTGGCCAACGTAGCGCCGACCCGCTTTGTTTCCGCTCTCTTCGGCCTTCCCCTGAGGAGCAAGAGCAACTTGAAGGGTATCTACACAGACCATGAGCTGTATGCCGTGCTTTCGACTATTGCCGAGGCCGTCTTCACGAACCCCGACCCGGTCAAGAAATTCCCCTTGTTCGAGGCAGCCAAGACGGTCGCCGCCCAGCTGGCCTCCTCGATCGAGCGCAAAGTCAAGAGTCCCAAGCCGGCGAAGAATGATCCGCTGAACGCGTACGGCATGAACCTCATCAAGGGGCTGGCCAAGGTCGGGTTGAACATCCACGACATCACCTGGGGCCACGTTCTCGCGACCTGCGCCGCCATCGCGCCATACCAAGCCAAGCTTGTAAGCTCTTTGTTTCGTACCCCTGAAAACCACCCTACTAACACCACGACCAGTTCGCCGAGGCCGCCGACTTCTACCTCTCCCCGAAGGGCGAGGCCCATCTTGAGGCAATCCGGTCGCTCGCAGCGCAGCCCGCGTCGGAGCAGTCCGACGCCCTGCTGCTCGGCTACGCGCTCGAAGGCGTCCGCCTGTCGGGCTCCACGAAGCTGCACTACGAGGCCACGGCCACCGACTCGCTCGCCGCCGCGGACGGCAGCACCATCGAGGTCCAAGCCGGCGACCGCATCGCCGTCACCTCGGTAAGCCCCTCCCCCACCTCACCCCACCCCACCATGTCAACCCCCTCCCCACTAACAAATTCCTCTTTCACACAGTCCGCCGGCTCCGACACCGTCGACCCCTCCCGCCCGCACGAGAGCTACCTGCACATCGCGGCGCTGCCCAACGCGTCCTTCCTGGGCCCCGCGGGCCGCGACATGGCCGAGGCCGCGCTGACCGAGATGTTCCGCGCGCTCTTCAAGCGGCCCAACCTGCGCCGCGCGCTGGGCCCCCAGGGCGAGCTGAAGCGCGTCGTGGGCGTTAGTGGCGTCGAGGGGGCGGTCGAGTATCTCCGCGAGGATTGGGGTGCCAAGGGCCAGTGGCCTGTGACGATGAAGGTGATGTGGGATGAATGAATCGCGGTTGGCCTTGGGGGGGCTAGGTGCGTGGCGTGGTGGGTGTAGGTGGTTGGAGTTGTTGGTTGGGTGAGAGAGGGGGAGGGAGAGGTGGGCTGGGTGATGCGGTGTTCTGCCGTAGGATGCGCTTTGTATGAGGTGATGAGGGGGGTTGATACCAGTGTGACTTGTTTCTCTTTCTGTTGTCTGCTCGGGTTGGGTAGCCTAATTCTCGTCGAATTCACTATTTTTACACACCTCTCCTTTTGCCGTAATGCGATGCATTACTAGTACTAAACCCCTTAGGGCCCCCCTACCCTGCTCATCGCCTCACCAAGCACACAGAGCCCTATTGCAATGTGCTGCTCCAGCATCTCAACACATTGATGCAACATAGTAACCGTCTCCCCGAACGTCTCCCTATTGTTTCAAGGCTCCGGGGGACGGGACTGACCCTGATGAGGCAAAGAAGCAACAAAAACAAAACAAAACCCGACAGCTGAACAATAACAAAAGGAGAGGTCCTACCCGGACTCGAACCGGGGTCGCCGGAATGACCTAGAGTCAGAATCCGAAGTGATAACCGCTACACTATAGAACCTTGGGTTTTGGTTGGCTGCTGCAGCTCGAATTTACCCCTGATGGAGACTTGATAAGAATCTCCACTTACACTCGCTCCATCATTGCTGGGAGCACACTATCCCTTCGTTTCGTTACCTTGGAACACCTAAAGTCCCCTCGTCGGATTCACCTCAATTCTTGTCCCGTTGCGACGGATCCTGGTAGGTTAGCGCATCTCCGCGGGCTGTGGCAAGGAATCAGTCAAAGAAACGGGAATCTGGGCCCGAGGGGCCAATAAGGGGTAGTATGACATTCCAAAGACGTCATCACGTAGCATCTCTTCACCCAACTCGTTTACTTTGGTCGTATTCTTGACACCTACATAATTGCCTTGGCGATGCTTGTTTTCTGAAGAGGGGCATTAAATAGAAGCTGAGCAGGAGATTGCGTATGCTGCTTCACCATGGCTCAGCACATTCCATGGGAAGTCACCGTAACGGACCACCCTGGGTCCTCAGAGCAGGATATTAAAGACGAGCCGGACTGGGCTAAACTCCATTCTCATGCTATCGGCTTCAAAAACCATGATGGACGCCGTCCAGGTTTTGCACACTCCCACCACCAAGAGGAGATCGAGATCTCACGGCAGATGAGGGAAGATTTGACGCATAGAGTGTCCACGGGAAAGTTGGTCAACTTTCGTGATCTGATCGAGAGCCAGGAGGATTTTCATCTACGGTACCCGGACAACCGATCCCTGGGCTGGCGCTACGTCCTGGAGACGACAGAGGACTGGGTCAAGAACCAGCAGGAGTGGCCGGTAAATGCCGAGAAGAGAAAAAAGCAGGAAAAGGAGAGAATGGAGAAAGGAGAGGGGGAGGATACATCAGTAAAGGATGGCAAGAGTGATGAGCAAGGAAAGCCGCGAGAGGAGCCACAAGACTCGGAGGGGAAAGAGGGAGAACCCAATCTCAACCCTCAAGAACGGTCTTTTCTCGCAGCCATTGAACACGATGCACGCACCAGGGCCTCCTTAAAAGTCAACGACGGCAAGCAAAAGAGCCCCCAAACCCACAACCGCTCTTCCATCACCATCGACGAACAAGACCAGTTCACCCCGGACAACTGGCTCCCCCGCTGCCCCGACCTCATCCGACTCACCGGCAAACACCCCATGAACGCCGAGCCCACTATCACGCGCCTCCACGAAGGCGGCCTGATCACTCCCAACGAGCTGCACTACATCCGCAACCACGGCTCGGTCCCGCGCCTCCTCTGGGAATTCCACCGCCTCGACATCACGCACAACCACAAAACCCTCTCCCTCACCATGGACCAGCTCAAAAGCCGCTACGCCGCCTCCACCATCAACATCCCCATCGTCATGGCCTGCACCGGCAACCGGCGCAAAGAGCTCAACCTGCTCCGCAAAACCAAAGGCGCCAACAACGCCGCCGGCTGCGTCGGCTGCGCCTACTGGAAGGGCCCCACCCTCCGCTCGGTGCTGCTCTCCGCCGGCGTGCCCGACCCCACCACCACCACCACCCCGGACAGCACCACCACCAACACACGCACCTGGGTGCACTTCGCCGGCGCCGACACCCCCAGCGGCGGAACCTACGAGACCTGCCTCCCGCTCGCGCACGCCATGGACGCCGGGCGGGACGTGCTGCTGGCCACGCACATGAACGACCTCCCGCTGCCGCCGGACCACGGCTACCCCGTGCGGCTGATGGTGCCGGGGTATGTGGGGGGGCGGTGCGTGAAGTGGTTACGGCGGATCTGGACGAGTGAGCGGGAGAATGACAGTTATTATCATGTGTGGGATAATCGGGTGGTGCCGGAGGGGGTGAGGGGGAAGGAGGGGCCGTTGGCGGAGGCGTGGTTTCGCCATCCGAGTACGGTGTGTAATGAGATGGTGTTGTCGTCGATGGTTTGTCGGCCGGGGCAGGGGGAGAGGGTGCGGTTGGGGGAGGTGGGGGGGGGGGAGGTGTATAGGGTGAAGGGGTTTGCGTATGCGGGGGCGGGATTGGAGGTTCAGATGGTGGAGGTGTCGATTGATGGGGGGGAGAGTTGGTTGTTTGCGGAGAGGCAGTTTCCGCAGTATCCTATCAGGCATGGGAATAGGTTCTGGGCGTGGGTGTTTTGGGAGGTGGAGGTGGCGTTGGCGGATTTGGTGAGGGCGCCCAGTGTCATGGTAAGGTGCTCTGATGCGGGCAAGAACATGCAGCCGAGGGATTTCAAGTGGAATGTATTGGGCATGATGAACAACTCGTGGTATACCGTCAAGACGGAAACGGTGCAGGACGAGAAGGATGGGGGTCCGGCTGTGGTGTTTCGGCATCCAACCGAGGCCGCTGCTGGGGAGGGGGATGGATGCAGCCATCTGAGGAGTTGAGGACTGCCCAAGCGAAGCATGACGCGGCCACGCCACAGAAGCAGTTCACTCGCGAGGAAATTGAGAATCACGATAAGGAAGGTGATTGTTGGATTGTGGTGGACAACAAGGTGTACGACGCGACGAGAGTGCTTGCCTGGCATCCGGGCGGCGAGGCGGCTATTATGTCTCACGCAGGCAAGTGCCACCACGACACTACTGAAGATTTCTCCAGCATTCATGATGATTATGGTTACAAGAAGTTGCAAGGTAGGCAACCTTCCCGTGGTTGACGCCATCCATTAACAACGGTGGCAGAATGCATCCTGGGTGCAGTGACGGAAAAGACGGCCAACTACATCACGCAGACGGCCGAGAAAGCTGCGAAAAAGCGGGCAGCGGATGCTCAAAAACAAGGCGAGGAAGGAGCGCAGCTAGCCCTGCAGAAGCACCGCTGGGTGCCCGTCAAGCTGGTGGACCGGCGTGAGATCAGCAACGATACCCGGACTTACACGTTCGAGTTACCCCCAGGCAAGCCCGAACTCGGTCTAGGGACATGTCAGCACATCCAAGTGGGTTTCCACTTGAAAGACAAGATGCTCGTCCGGCCGTACACTCCGACGCGGCCCGTCATGCCCTCCCCGTCGGCGAGTCCAGCGCGGGAGGCCGCTCCCGTCAGCAACATCCCGGACAAGGAGAAGGGGAAAGGAAACGAACAAAATAAACCGCCCACCCCTCCCGAATCACCCACCACCGCCTTCCACACCCAACCCCAACCACAACCCCAACCCCAACCTCAACCCGCATCCTCCTCATCCACCCCACCCCCCGACAACCACCATCCCTCCCCCTCCACCTTCGACCTAACCATCAAAACCTACTTCCCCACCCCCTCCCAACCCGGCGGCGCCCTCTCCAACCTGCTCGACTGCATGCCTCTCGGCGAGGAAGTCGAGATCCGGGGCCCGACCGGCGACATCGTGTACCTGGGTAACTCGGAGTTCCTGGTCACGGGGGCGTTCGCGCCGCAGCCGCGCCGGCTGCGCTTTCCGCGCGTGTCGCTGGTCTTGGGCGGGTCGGGCATCACGCCGGGGTACGCGTTGATGGCGGCTGTGGCGCAGGGGATGGGAGGTGGGGGTGGTGGTGATGGTGAGGGGAGGGATGGGACAGAGGTGAGGGCGGTGGATGCGAATAAGAGTGAGGGGGATATTTTGCTGAAGGGGGAGTTGGATCGGTTTGGGAGGGAGAGTGAGGGCCGGGTGATGGTGACGCATGTGTTGAGTGATGCCGGGGAGGGGTGGGAGGGGGAGAGGGGGTTGGTGGATGCTGACTTGTTGAAGAAGGTGCTGTTTCCGCCGGGGGAGGGGAGCGCCGTCTTCTTGTGTGGGCCGCCTGGCTTGGTGCGCATGGTTGCGCTGCCGGCGTTGAAAGGTACGTCATGATCTTGTGTTTGGTGCAAATATTAATGATGAGTGCTAGTAACTGGTGGCAGAATGGGGATATGTGGAGGATGAGAACTTGTTTGGATTTTAGTCATTCAGGGGAAATGTTGAGTCTTGCCTGCTCTTTGATGGTCTCAAATTGTTGTCGGTATGCCTTGCCGTTTTAGGAACAAAACAATGGACTTCCTTGGGAGAACTGCGATGAGTAAACTGCTCTTCTGCCCTTGTTAACGGTTGTGTATGACCTTTAAAAATTCAAGTGCCCAATTACGATCGTCACCCACCGGTCATAACGTGCCTCGGTTCCAAGACCATGCCGTACGGGGTTGTGCTACATTGCGCAACGAATGTGCGCAAATCCGTCGGCCAACGGAGGAAACGGCTTCTTTGAAGAATTGGCTGGATGGCAACCGTCAAGTACTCTAAATTAGAACGTCATGCACTTCCACCCTTTGATGGGCAACTGTTAGCCCCTTAGAGAGAAGTCCCATTCCTGGGATGGTCTTTCCCCAGGCGATATCCAGGATTTTCTTGGCTGAGACGGAAGGTTCGTGGCCGATTGGACAACAGTGCCTGCGTAGTGGGAAATAGACACCTCCCAGATCAAGAAAGCGCGTGGGTGAAGTGACAGGAAGGCAGAGGCAACGGCGGCTGGCTGCTTCAAAGCATAAGAGAGTTTTCTGCAGCCTTTCCTCCTCTTCCACCTCCGTCAACTTTTTTCTCGCATCTTCAGCCCAAGTCCACAATACTGCCTCATTTTGGTTCATTGCTTCAGCTTTGCCACCCATTAACGTTGATACTCATTGCTAAATTAGCCTACACTCACCAACATGCGTTCCTTTATCGCTCTTCCGGTCCTCACCGGCCTTCTCGCCTTGACTACCGCGGCGGAACTCCCTCTCACTCCTGTCGCCACGGCCCCCGCCGTCAGACCAACACCCGGCACTTTCACTCCCAGCCAGGTTCCCCCCGGTGCTCCCATCGGGCAACGCCCGGCCTTCCCCGCCACCAACACGGCGACATCTCAGCAGCAAAAGCCATCAGTCTTCGTGCTCACCAAGGTTCCCGCCGGCCCAACAAGCACTGGCACACCAACCAACCCCGACAAGTGCTCGCAGGTCGCCGCCCGCATCACACCACAACTCACACCCACGCCCACGTACGCGCCGTCCCTCAAGGCCATGGCCGACAAGATGGGCGGCGTGGACCGCGACACGTGCG